TGAGTAAAGTTTTTTGCAACCAATAAGTTGTGTCTGCCTCTCCATTCACCAGCCCGCCTTAACGTACGACCAATTTCTAATGCAACTCGAGTCGGCCTTGGCCGTCTGAGACATTAATAAAAGTCAAAGATTTCCATTTCTACTCCACATCAAGACACTGCATACACAGCACTGGGATTCAGATATTTCTGGGTTTTAATTCCGTTTCCGCCACTAGTTCCTTCTGTGAAGTAGGGTAGACCTTAACTTTTTTTCCCATATTCTAGAGGATAGAAAATTATATTTACCTGCCTCAGCAGCGGTCATGAAAAAGATTAACTAGTTACCCTCTGAACTGAATTTTGAAGATGAAGAATGTTTTATAAATGCCAAATATTAGACAATATACTAACCAGAGAGTCAATGCTGATATTATTTTATAGTTTTTATAAAACTTTATGAAATTTTATTAATTTGAAAACATGCTTCAGACAGAAACACAGCACAAATCAATTCTTCATTTTAGTTCAATTTTGAGAGCTAAGTTACTCTCCCAATTCTGTAGGTAAATCTCCATCACTGACTTGGGTAACAGTAGGACATTCTTCTGCTAACTGCTGAATGCACATAGCTGATTGATGGCAAATAGATGCAACCTTTTAAAATGAGAATAATAGTTTTAATAAATTTCCTTCACAAAATGTTTTCCATCCTGTGGGATTCCAAAGTGTTTTAGCAAATTGTGACCTAGCCTATGCATAGTACAGGAATAATTTCCTCCTTCATTCTTCTGAAATGACTTTTAACACTACACAACAATACTACTCAAGACTTTAGGACAGGTAATGAAGACCATTTTATGCAACCAAAACAGCAAGAGAAACATATATATAGAATTAGGTACTCAGATGAAACCCGACCAGGACATCCTACTCTGAATGAAAGGGCTATGTAACACTTCCATGAACACAAATGGTCAGGATTTTTGTTATTTTTTACATGACTATTTAATGTAACATACATGAACAGCCCAGGAGCCAAGATGTGGAATTCAAGGCTCCCCAAAATACCCTACAGAAAGAGGCTCCCTCTTTCTTGCTCTATTTCTGGGTCTCTTCAATTCTTTGAAAGAATACTTGGAGGCGTGTACTCCAAGGAATGGGTTCTGGGCTCTGGATCCTGAGTGGATGGATAAGCCTCCCTTGCAGCCCTGATTCAGGCACCTAAGCTCAAGGGATGAGGGTATGGGGAGTTCAGACATAGCTCCGAGCTAAGTTATTTTTAATGGCTAGCTCAAGCTAGATTCCTGCTCATAATGCAGAATTTTTTAATCTTTCATCCAAGGCACCTAGCTTTCCCCATTAGCTCCACAGGGAGCCTAGGCATATAACTATGCTTTAGATCCATTCTGAAAATGAGCTGCCTGAAGTTTAGGCATTGCAGTGGTTAACCTGTAGGCACCTAAGCCCTTTTTGGATCTGGCCTATAGTACCTGGTTAATGTATGGGTTCAGACCTGACACAGGAGGAAGACTAAATCCCAAATGCCATTTTCTGCATCATCCAGAATGGATCTTCCCTCAGAGAAGCAACTTTGTCCAACACTACACTACATAACTTATCAAAATGGCAATGGCATATAGTGCTGGAAAACTGGTCTAGTTAATGCTAAAAGGCCAGGAGATACTATCTCCCATTGAAAACAGTGTACCTAACAGTATCTGGTGGTTATGCAGAGGGGTAGAAATCCACGGTAAAAAGCATTACCAATATGGACAAATACCAGTTCTTTCAATATCACCAGAGATTACAACTGACATGAATGTAACTGTTTATAATTTACAATGACATTTCTAGCATCATCTTAAATTACATTCTGATAGGAGTAATTAGTATCTGACTTTTTATCTCTATATCGTCGTTCATTATTTTACCTCATGCCTCCTCTTGTGCTTCCCCTCCCAAGGAAGCAGTATGAATCTTTCTGTACTCTTCTCAAAAGGAAATCTTTCCTTCCTTTTGGTCTTTTAATTGCCCTTTTGCTGGGTCTTTATGAGAAAGGCAGAGCCAAAACAAAAGTGAAGAAGATTCACTAATTTAAATAGAAGGCATTTTCATGTTTCAGGTTAGTTTCCTTCCTTTCTATTGAGCTGCTTGCAACAATGCTCTGCCTTCCATCAAAGTGATTATACTTTGTTTAGATCCTGTCATTGCATACTACTGTGTGCATTTCACCTAACATCATATTTCCCTGTCTTGCTTTGTGCTTAGTTCTAGGAAGCACCCCGTGTCCTGAACACCCACAGACTCCCAGAATGACCAGAATCTCTCTGGAGGTGCTCAGCACATTTCAGGATCAGGTTCATTGTTTAAGTTTTTCCCTGTTCCTCAAAATCCTTTCTAATCTTAACTACAAGAACCTGCTGAGCTGGAGTCCTGAGTCTTGTTTTAATACAAATAAAAAGTAATAATAGCTTCATGCTCTCCATAATTTTGCCTCATTTTTCACTCCCTCCAAATCAACTACAATTATTATAATTCAACCAATATACACCATTTAAATAATATGCACTGTGCACAGGGAAAAAATGGTGGGATTTAAATTAGAACTCTCATGCCTTTGTGCCCATGAAACTTGGAAACTTTCACAGTTACTATAAAGATCCAGTTTTGCCCTTCCGGTCTGTTATTTCTTGAACAAAATAAAAAAAAATACCTAAAGAAAAACTTTCTGTGCTATTTAAAACTATAAATAGTATTTTAAAATTCCAATTTGTCTGCTGGCTCCACAGCAAGAATAACTGATTTGAACTTCTACATGATTAGGGTTTTATTTTGTTCAGAAGACTGAAGTTTGCAGAAATCATATGGTCCTTGCTTCTTCCTCTGTTTCCAGGTCTTGCTATGCAGACCACCCATTACCAAATATTTTTAAGTTAATTAAAAGAATGTGTCACTTTTTGATGACCTGAAGCCCACTTCAGTCTTGGATTTAAAAGAAATTGTTCTACATGTGAATTCAAATCTTTCTGCTGTCTGAAGCCTGTGCCCACTTGGCTCCTTTTACTAAATGCTGTGAGGCCTTGGCTTCAGTTGTCACTGCTATAGTTAGTGCTTCCTTGGCTACTGGTCAGTTTCCATTTTCCTTAAAACTGCAGTGGTTACACCCTTATTCAAGAACAACTTTCGTAATGATCTCTTTTGGATTTGGTGTCCCAAACAAAGATTTCAGGAAAAATACACAACTCTAGTATACTGTAAATGATCAATTCCATTTTGGGTTTAGGACAGGGCACTGAATTCAAGGAAACGGCCTGGTCTGTAAGATAGATATGGGTAACAGAGGCTTAATTTTGAGGTAGTGTATTCAGTTTTTACTCAGATAAACTCCCATTTGACTTTAATAGGAGTGTGTCTAAGTAGGAAATTTGGTAAGGATCACAGAATTTGAAGCTATAGCCCTATAACATTTTAATGTGCTCTAAAGGTGCTTCTGTGATATGTCACATACTGTACCAGTGGTTAAAAACAAACAAACAGCAAATAATACGAATATGGTTACAGAAAGTGTTAATAGGTTTGGGCATTACTTTGGTCTAATTAATTATGCGCTTTGGAAGAACTGCATATGAACCTATATCTATACAACATGGAATACAGAGTCCTTACACAATTATCTGCATTTGAATTCTATGTTAAACAGCACATATCTTAATTTCACCCACATGACTACTGGTATTTACATGAACCTTATCTAGTCATTTATATCAAATGTATAAAGCTACCTCAAACAACACTGGAGCTGAGATTTTGCCAACACAAGAGTCAGGTAATTATGGTTCCCACAGTAACAATAACCTCAGGCTCTTATGCACGTGTAATATACACTGTTAACTTCAATGTCTTAATATAATATATGGGCATAATGTAGCTTACTAATGGTTGATTTGGGAATCATAGCTTTATATTGTGTAATTTTTGTACCTGTAAAATCTCAGCTAAAATGTTGCACTGATGTAGTTTTTAAAGTGCATTTCCTTGTTTTATTTTTTATACATAAAAATAAAACTTCCATAAATATCATGGCTCCCTCCCAAACTTAGTTGAATATTCAGACTGAAATCTTGTTCTTCTGAAATCAATAACAAAACTCCCATTGACCTTAATGGGGTCAAGACTTCACCCTTACCTTTTACTGAAAGCTAGAACAAAGCCAAATCTAGTCTTAGATCCAAACCATTTTTTTACTTATCTGAACAAAAAGCATGTGAAAAACATTAACTTGTGAAGCTAATGGATCAATATGTGCAAATAGCTCAAGACAGATTAGCAGATTTTTTTCGCTCACTGTAAGAAAAAGTACGAAAAATTTTGTCCCATTAGGTAACTCTTGTCAAGCCAACGAACGTAAGAGCTTAGACTGAAAGAACCTTCTCAACCATTATTATAGAAGTACCACACTAGCACTGCTATCTCAGTTTAATTTAGCTCCCTTTTCTTCACCGCCAGAGGGCACATGTGCAACCCCATAGGATACAACTTTGAAAAGGGTTTTGCTTGCCTAAAGTGCCAGGGCAGCACAAGAATTCACATGGGTCTTTAAAGAACTACTGATATGTTTAATTGAAGCCTCCTCTCATCAAAAAAGAAACTGTTATTGCGAAAACTTCCAAAAAGCTATTAATTTTTAGGCAGAGAACAAGTGTGGAAAATTTCAGAAGGTACCAAATAAATAAAAACAGTTTATAATGGAAAATGTTATGTAACCTTAAAGAAACTAAAGTCATTTTCAAATCTGAGAACTCATTGCTCCCACAGGTTTCCCCACACCTCTGAAAACCTAGGAAACTTCTACTTATCTTAAATTAAGATTTTAGAGCTTAATTTCAAGTATCTAACTTGGAAAATTCTGGGTTTAGGGATTAGTTTATGTTCTTCTGTAAAGTTTAGCAGAGTTTCTTGGGCAGAATCAACACTATGATTTTTTTATACAACATTCCCATGAATGCTACCTTTTCTCACCTATACGTTGTAGAAGGGTGCCTTAGTACTGATAAGGCTACGGCAGCTTCTTGTTATTTTTGCCTCTCTGTTAGCCAGACCCATTTGCCTGGTGAAGAGAAAAGCAGAAGGAATAAACCTTTTGACAATATTAAATTAACACAATGTCTAGGAAGCCGATGGAGCCTTTTGTATACCATGAACCCCATTGGTGCACTGAAGCAACAGTCTTCTGGTAACATGGCCAGGGTTACACAAGATTCTTATGCCCATTTTTCCACCAGCGTAGATGTAACAATTATTGTGAGATGCCAGCACTGGTCTCCATGAACAGTGGTCCTTCAACCAATACGTTTCTTTATGGATTATCCAACTTAAACCTAGCATGATAAAATGTAGAATACTGTTGGCATACCCTTAGTGCTAAACATTTTTCCACTGCATGAATTTCCTGTTGATACTGTATTCATTGTTCTGTCCACCTATGTTAAAAAGAAGGCATCCTTAAGACGTTACTTCCATGTCTAGCAAAGTCTTGCAGTGACAGTTCATCTATATTTGAATTCACCATTCTACTGTGAAATAATAGTCTGTTATGCAAGGATAGTTAGCTGCTATAGGAGAGGTACCCTCTGGCACAATGCAGAAATTGTCACTTAAGCTTACTTGAATTGTTGCTATGTGACTATAACTCTGCTCTCATTTTGATGAAGTATACAAGAGTACCTTTCTGCTAAACGTTATATTATAGTTTTGTTTCTTTTTCCCCAAATTCTTCCCAATATAGTGGATAAACTTCCATATTTCCTGACTACAATTATAAAGGATACTTATCAGAGCAATCAACAGTTAGGTACCAAGCAAACATGTTTCATAATTATCAGAGACATACATCATTGTAAGGAAGAGTTTGACAACTAGTTTAACACTAGGAAAAAATCCAACAAGCATCATTATACATTTTACAGACCCCATGGAAGGTCCCCATATGGCTCTCCAAAACTAATCAAGGTATTTGTTCCATTGGAAGGAGACTAAGTGAAGGATGCCTGACAATGTAAATTACAGAAAATAAATCCACTAATAAGTGCAAGAGACAATACAGGCTATACTATAAGAGAATAAAGGCTGCTATATAACCATCTTATTAATGAGAGGAGATATTCCTTTGCTAAACAATCAATGGCATTAGTCTTAAGAGACCAACTGCAGAAACGGGGGAAAAAGTATTCCTTTAGATCCCACAACAAATGATGGCCTTGAGAGGCAAAGGAAAAGGAAAATCATATTTATTTGCAAACCACATGCACATTGTTCTTAAAAATTAGCCCTCTAAAACGTGTGTGTGTCTTAAGCAGGTAAGCCAATTTCTGTGCTAGAAAGGAAGCACAGAGATGCTGGGATGGCTGCTGGGTCCTGTGTTTCTCTCCCAGTCAGGATGCAGTAGAGGTGGAGTCCATACTCCAGTGCCAGAGCTAGAGTTTTAACCCTCTCACAGCCACTGCCAAATTGGCAATTGCTTTTGGCTAAGCATAGTCTTATTTGGGGGCATGTGGTATGTGAGAAAACATGGTACATTCTCTAGAGCCCAGTTCTATAAGAACGGCTCTCCTTGGAGCCTTCCTGTCCTGACAACTTCATCAGCTCCCACTGATTAGGAGAGTCACAGCATAGAGGGTGGCTTTGTCTAATAATGCAAATAGCTGTGAGTTTTCTTACATTTGAGAGGGATATTGTGGGGAGGGGTTGCATGCAGCCTGCTTTCCTCCTACCAATGTTTATTTCTACTCAACAGCCATAGCTCTAAATCTGCAGAGATTCCACAATATCAGATGGAGGAGTGATGCCATAATTTCAGAGCCATTTTCCCATAGGGAGGGCACTGGCTGACAATTGTGGCATTTGAGCAGCTTATGGTGTCTCTGTACATGGAAGATGAGACAACATGTAGCTCTCTACACAGGAATTCACAAACCACTAAAATGCAGCCAGTCTCGGGGATGGAGGGGGGTGGGGCAGCTATTTAACACTGCACAGATTACCGAACAGTGTTGGGCAATAAATTAAGAAAGCAAAAGACTAATTACTAGTCAAGTGAATTATACACACAGATATACAGACAAATGTATATATGCATGCATGCATGTTTGTATGCATCTGCGTGTGTAACAACTATTAATTCCTAACAAAAGGAGAATTTCTGGAAAAATTAAACTATAAAATAGCAGAACAGTACTAAATTTAAAAACATTGTCCACAGTTCTTTCCATCATAATATGATTTCTAATATATATATTTTAATGATTTTTTAACTGAACCAAAGTGACTGCAAGGTGAACACTCAAAAGGAAATTTCCTGTAGTGAGCAACTTCAGGTAAAGTACAAAAGCAGTACATCTTTAGAATGATTTCTCTTGCTGTCCAGGAAAAGTTGTATATTGGCTGGTTAACTGACTAGTTTTATGGTCAGCAAAATGAAATTTACTGTATCTTAAATATCTTGTATTTTTTCCTAGAAGTGGCTGCTCAGGTCTGATGAAACCACTGAAAACACACTACACTTCAGACCATCCTTTGACTTGCAAACCTTCGTGCAAATACCTAGCTGTGGTACAGAGGAAATAACAACCATATCCGTTTCAAAGCAAAACCACAGCTTTGAAAGAATGACTGGGCATGCCTGACATTATCCTCGGATGGGTGGAACTTTTGAAACAGAAGGCCATGAAGGTGTAGTGCCCAGCCTTCCCCTGCAAGTCCAGGGGATGTGCCAGAGATCACGGTCACATTTTTATTAGTGCACTGCTCTGCAAAATGTACTATGCTAGCTTCCCCACCCTGGCTTAAAGTACAATCCCTCTAACAAAGTCAACAATTGCTTAACATAATACTTCATGTACCATCTTGATTTAGGTGGCATGATACTTGTTTGAAAGAGGATCTGACACAGCCCCAGATACTGTTATGAATGAGGCAGCTCTTTTATTATGAACAAAGGAAGTAAGCTGAGAATCAAATTTACAAAACAGGTCCTAATTATTCCTCTGTGGGGATGAAGTGGTGCAAAGCAATGGCAAAGCAGGGGGCACAGAGTAGTGGCACTATCCATGAAATAAGTGGCACCAAATGTACTCAGAGTAGCCACCGAGTCATGCAGGAGGGTTCCAATAAAGCTCTAGCAGCAGTTTAAAGTTGTTTCCTGCTCTGGAAAATAGCAATGGTATTACCATGTGTCCTCTGCCTATTGTTATAACCCAACTTGATCACAGTCAGCAGTGGGAACGAGGGACAGAAGCCCACAGTGGGAACTTAAGGGCAGAATATATAATAAACAATAAGAATTTACAAGTAATGCAAGAGTTATATTATGAAAATTGTATTACTCTGGTCACAGACTCCCATGCCTATGACCAGAATTTGTTCACAACTCTTACAGACAGAAAGATTTGGTAAGTAGCCAGTGTAACTGCTGGATTCTTTTTATATGCTGTACTTTTCAATCCTCTACAGACGAGCAGAACTCAATGTATTTTGAGCCATGGCCAAACATGCTTAAACATTTTTTTGGAATGGGAAAAGGGGAGGAGAGGGGAAGAAAATTATAAATATTTAACTTGCTGCAGCATTTTTCTCTTTCAGCTGTTCTTTGAGACAGCTTTGACACAACTCAAGTTATTTTTAATGGTAAAAAACTGAAAACAGGAAACAATGGGCAGTAATGGGAAAAACACTGTTTTTAATGCTGACAAAATGTATTCAAGTGACACCTCTGCAGACTGAAGTCCACAGACTAGTTTCAGCATGAGGAGCAACAATGAAAACTCCCTCACACTACATCCCATATTCCTGAACCAGACCCTGAGGAACCACTTATGAGGGTGACAAGGAAAATTCAATACTCATGGTCCATATGGTCACTGGGCATTTCACTGAGCCAAACAGGATAAACAATTAGCAATAACTGTGACAGTCTCTTCTGTAATATGAATTATCCCTCTTACAGCAATTCAACCAAGACACAGAATTCACATTGGTCACCGTTATCTTATGCTTCATGAATCTGTGATGGAAAAACAACTAATTTAGGATTCTCTAGTCTTCCCCTCTTTATCAGTTTGCTGCCATTCATGACCATTGTAAAAGGGTGGGGACCTTTTGCAAGCCTGTATTTTTACTTCCTTTACTGTGCAAGCAGCAGGATGCCAGCGAGCTGTTGCTGTGTAGGAACAGAGCTTGTAAGTGTTTGTCTTGTCCTGAAGAACATAGGTGTGATTTTCATATACAAACAACTTCAGAAAAATATTACAAAAGAAGACAATGCACATTAGATTTACCACAAAGAACGAACCTGAAGGCTTGTATTATTCTCTAGTCACGTAGTCAAAGGCCAGAAGCTACTTTTGAGAACTTTAGAACGCACTTAACATGAAATCCTACACTAAAATCTTCATGGAACAAAAGAATAAAAGGGCCGAAGGAAGGAAGAAACTATTTCAAGTTGTTATAAGCAACAGCGCTGCCCAATACATTGCTTAAGAAACTTATGCCAGACACTTGGAGTCACACCTCTCAAAAAACAAACACTCCTCATAAAATCTGCATGTCTAACCTAGACTGCTCCAAGATTACAATTTTCAATCTTGAATTTTGAGCTATATTTTTGATAGCTAAACTCTACCACCCAACAAGTGTAGGGGGTAAACTTGAGATGGGACACCATTTACCTAGTATCCCTGAATTAATGAATGTAATAATATGAACAAGAGATACAACAACACAGTTTTTCAGCTGATGAACATGCTGGTGTCCATTCTGATCTTTACATTTCAAGTCTCACCTATTATTTTCAAGCCCGTGCCCTTACCTGACAGTTCTACTCTCCTCAAATCAAACAAATCACATTCAACCAATCATCTTAATATTATTGATGTAGACTATTACAAGACCACAAACATTTTTTTTCCTTAAAAGAGTAAATGGTCCCAAACATTTTCATAGCATGGGCCAGGTATTGGTAGAGATTGTCTCAGAACCACAGAATCATACAGTAGGACTGGAAGGGACCTTCACAGGTCTTCTACAACCCCCAACCAGAGGCAGGAGCGTCCC